CTCGCGGCCAAGCTTCGATCAGTTAAATATCTTCACGTTGTACGAGTATGCAACGCTGCCGCGGATTCATTAGCCACTGACGCGCTGGAATCAAAGGTCAGTCGTGTCATCTTGGCTGAAACTCGCAAGTCGGAATTGGCGTCGCTGAATCGTATCCAAGAAATGATCTACGAGCCGGATGAAGACTCGGTAGATGTTTCGTCACGTGGAGCAGAGCGTCAAGTACATGTACTGTCAGGCAGCGAGTCTTCAAAGTGGAAAGCGTTCGAAAATTTCGTGGTTGATTACAGCTCACCAGAGTTTGATTATGGTAATATGGCAGTGATGACTAGGCGACAGACGAAAGCCAAGAAACGCGTCAGGTTTGCAGATAAACACTCGGAGAGAGTCTTAAAAGCTCACGAACAGCATGAAGAACGACGAGAGACGTCCACCGAAGATTCAATCGGTGAAGATTTGCCAGACCATCCTCACAAGACTGTACCAGCGGCATTTCCCGATGCGGAAGATGTTGACCCGGTAGCAATACAGCGTGAACGACGCAGACGGATATTGGTGGCACAAGATGAAAAGCAGAAGTGGACTAACATCAAGAAGGTGCTTCTGGGCCAAGCAGAAGAGCTGAGCTACAAAGAAGCTCGAAATGCCTGGAAATACGCTGACCGGTTCGTGTTGTCAGAAGACGGCGTGCTTCACTATCTTGGATTGAGTCGTTGGTACGACCACGGCTGGCAAGAAGAGACCAAGCTGCGGCTTGTGGTACCGACAATAATGATTCAAGAGGTCTTGCAGAACTGTCACGACTCGCTGGAAGGTGGGCATCAAGGTGTGGTGAGAACATTCCATCGCGTTAAGTCCAATTATTATTGGATCGGCTTGTACGCTGGCGTGGAGAAGCATGTGAAGTCATGTCCGGATTGCAGCTCGAGTAAAAGCCGTCCGCAGCTTCGTGGATACTCGCCTGGCAATGTACAACCGAACCACCGTTCCAGATCGTCTCGATGGATTTTGTGATCCGACTACCGAAATCTCGCAGGGGCAACACTGCGTTGCTCCTATTTCAGTGCTCGTTCACAGGATTCGTCATTGCCAAGGCTATGTCGGATACAACTGCGCTGAGTGTTGCTCAAGTGTTCGAAGAATGTGTACCGACGTTTCGGAGCCCCATTGTTGATAAGGCACGACCGCGACCCACGCTTCATGAGTGAGGTTCTCCAAGCGTTCGCAGAGATGATGCAGTCTAGATCACGAGCAACTTTTAGCTATCGGCCACAGGCTAATGGACAGCAGGAACGCTCGGTGACGTCGGTGATGGGTTCCGTACGGGTGTACGCGGAAGATCCTCTACAGCAGGATTGGGATGAAATCGCCGAGAAGTTGGCAATTGCTATTAATACTTCCCAGGACACTACGAGGAAAGAAACACCGTTCTACCTCGTCCACGGTTGGGATGCGCAGTCGACATTTCGGGCGATGTCATCATCACTCAACCAAGGACTCGGCAAGCAGTCTGACGCACTGGTGTGGCGACGCGAGATCAACCGAAAACACGAGATCGCCCTCACTATGGCCAAAGATTATCAGGCTGTAGAAAAGGGGCGAAGGGCTAAAAAGCATAATGAGGCCCTGAGTCGACTGGAAAAAGCCGCTGTATCTCAACCAAGTGGAAACGAGCACTGTTGATTTATGTCCTGTAGGTGCTTTAACGTCAAAACCTTATACATTTAAAGCACGTTCATGGGAATTAAAAAAAAAAGAAGGTGTTGATATTTTAGATAGTATAGGTTCAAATATTAAAATTGATATTTTTAATAATGAAATTGTACGTATTTTACCTAAAACTAACTTTAATATTAATAAAGAATGGATTTCAAATAAGACAAGATATTTTTTCGATAGTTTAAAGTATCAACGATTAAAATATCCATTATTAAAAGATGATGAAAATAATTTTCATAAAATTTCATGGTTAGAAGCTTTAAATATAATTAATAAAAAATTAATAACTACTGATAGTTCTAAAATTAAAGGTATTATTGGTGATTTAACTGATGCGCAATACCATGCGAGTGTAAGAACTGCACACCACGCACGCACTGGCGAAAGAGATGGCGTGCATCGATCTCGGGCAGGCGGTTTTTGGGTGCTCGCTCTAATAGGTCCCACAGGTCGCCGCCTGCACAGAACTCCATGACAACACACCAGGTGCCCTGTGCGTTTAGAAACTCGCCGCGGAAATGCACGACATTGGTGTGCGGCGGCAGTGTCATGAGGCGAGAGACCACCTTGTGCTCGCTCCAGGGGTTGTCCACGTTGGGGTTACGACGCAGCGCCGCCACTGCACGCGTGAGTGACACCTGCTTGATTGCCACAATTTCGCCGCACTCTGCGTCCTCGTAGAGTCCCACAGGTCCATACAGCGCGTCGCTCAGAGGGCGGCGTAGGCGAAAACGCTCGGCGTACAGCGTGGTAGCGGCATTACTTAGGCGTGCGGTTACTTGTGAGCTCTGTGCGACCAATTT